TTTATCATTAGAAAAGGACCCTGGTGTTCAGAGTCCACAAAGTCAGGTGACCTCTGCTTTATGAGCACAGTCACGTGAGGGTTTTGTCTCTGGTAGAAAGAGCCATGAGCATGTGTAGCTAGCAGTCTGGTAACCTGAACCTGGTCCTGGCTGATGTCACCGATGTCACGATGTGTCCGTGGGCTCTGTAGGGACTTTGGGCTGCTGATCTCCTGGCCAAAGACCCTAACAGAGATGAGGACAGTGTTTGGGGGGCCCACGGAACCAACTGGCTCTTGGGGCCACCATGTACTTGGTCTCTTGGCCTGCTCCACACACACATTCCCGCCTTCTTCACATGCGCAGTCGTGCTGGATGATATGTGCTCCCCCAGGAAAGCGTTTATTACAGAAGTCCAGTTGCCATCCTAGAGAGCCGCTGACAGCGAGCTTGTCCTGTGCTGAAAACTCATCCTGACTCCCCCACCCTGTCCCTGTGGCCCCTAGAATCTCTGGACAGTATAGTCGAGTGAGACCTGAGCAATTCGATCCATCTCTGCCATTTTACAGATGGGAAAACTGATGCCAAAGGAGAAGTGAAGGGAAGATTATTATTGTTAACCTGAGAAATGTTCTCCGGGTGCCTTCAGAAATGGAATGATATCGGTGCTGCCCCATAAGAACTGACAGCAGGTACCGCCCTAAATACTTTGTGTGCAATAACTTTTGACATCTGATCACAACTCTACGAGCTAGGGGTGATGCTTCCATTTAATGGGGTAATTTTGCAGGAAACCAAGCAAAGAAGTAACATCTCCGAAGCCACAGGGCTGTAAGTAGTGGGTGGAACCCAGGCTGTTCTGAAAGAATCTTGGTCAGGGAGAGGGGACTAGCCTTCGGACCCATCCCTGGTCCTCATGGGTGTGTCTGATGCTTAGGGAGCCAGTTCTGGGAGGGACAGGAAACACTGAGTCTGTCCTGGGCCAGGCCTCCTCTCCTCCTCAGCATTCTGGGATACCCTCCTCCGATGGTAACCTGGAGGGCCTGGGTGTTAGACTGTCCAGCAGCTGCAGCCCTGTGAGGACCCCATAAAGCGCTGAGAGCTGTGGTATCGCCTCCGGGTCCCAGATGAGCTGGAGGCCGGACCCCTGTCGCCCCAGCCCACAGCTCTGCACCAGGCTCAGCACAAGGGCCGCATCCTCACCCTGCAGGGATAAGAGGGCTTCTGGCCGGAGGGAGATAGTGGTTTCCTCCATCTGATTAAAGTTAGCCTCTAAGATGCTTATCACCTGCAAGGAACCATCCAGAATAAACAAAGAGGTGGCCAGGCCCAGGCAATTGGAACCCAACTTGGGGTAAGAGCCTGGGACCTCTACTTCCCACTGTAACCAAGCCACAGCCCAGGGGTGTCACGAACTGCAGAACTGTGGTCCCAGGTAAGACACCATCACAACCCCAACTCCCCATCAACACTACCCTTCGCTGCAGTTGTCTGAAGTTGGTGGAGTTCCCATCTCTCCTCAGTGCCTTCAGCTTTTGCACCTGCTAGGTTCTGCCCAGCCCCATCTCCCTATTTTTCATTCTTGATCTGAGTGGAAATGGTTTGGTCACCACCCCTGGGAAATGACTCAGCCCCCTGCATGGAGCTCATCTTGGCCCTGCCTGTAATGACTCGGAGGCCGGGCTGCCTTCGTCTCTGGGTATTCTGTGGCCCTAGTAGAGGATTCGACATGTGGAATCAATGGTACAGGGCTGAATGGTCCACCTGGGGCTAGCTGCATGGAACCTGGGTGTTATGAGGGCATCTGTGGGTGATGGCTGGGGCAGAGGCTGAGGAAGGAATACTAGGGAGCAGACCCCCTACCTCCAACCACTTCCAGTGGTTTCTGGAGACATCTTCCCCACCCCTTCTTCTCGCCGAGGTTCTCACCAGTTCCAGGTGCTGGGGTACGATGTGTCTCTCCAGAGATTGGGCCAACAGGCAATGCTCGGTGTCACTCAGCACTGTCGAGAGATGGGGAGTGAGGGGCGCCCAGGGCACCAGGCACCCTGTGTCTCCCCTTTATGAGTCCTGGTGAACCAGGGGGAGAATGGCTGGGCTGCTGGAGTGCAAGGCTGGGAAGAAACCCCAGCAGGTACCAGCACCTCTGGGACCATCTTTCCAGGGAAGCTTCTGAATGCCAGGGGCTATGTTTGCCCAGGACTGCTGAGTGGGCTTGCTGCTCCATTGCCCCGTGTGTGTCCAGTGGCCTGGACCCTACCGGGGACTCACAGGTATTAGCTCATCTTCTGGCCCCACTGGCTTTGTGAGGTGATTAACACAGATGCTGAGAACCTTGCCAGCGCTACTCATGTGTAGTGGCTGAGCCTGGATGAGAACCCAGGTCTGTCTGGTCCCTAACATGACTCTCCAGCCGCACAGCCGGCTCAGCCCTGACTGGCTCACTATTTCAGCCTGCTCTTGCACTGCGGAGGGAGTCAGTGAATGCTGGTACCTATTGTGTGCAGGCACTACATGCCAGCCATGCCTTCATTTGTCTGCACCTACGATCTGGCAGGTACACGAGAAATGGAGCAGGCACGTGAACAATCCAGATGGTAACTCACTCTCTTGGAATGATAATATATGCATTAAGGATGGGCTTGTGGCTAGCTGCGAAAGAACTGTTGAGAACAGCAGTGCAAAGGCCTGAGGCATGATCCGATAGGACCCATTCAAGATACCATGTCCTGAGACCACAGTGGAGAAAGGGTGGAGTGGTGGGAGGCCACGAAGGGAAGCTGTTCCTGCTGTAAGCCCCACCCCTGTGTTCTGCCACCAAGTGCCAAGGCTGCTGTCAGCAGCAGGGCTGAAAGTCATGAAGAAGCACCAAGCATGGATGGGAGGAGGACAAGGACAGAGTAGGACTGCCACAGAGCCTTCAGACAAATAAGGTCTGCCGCCTCACTGCCATCCCCACAGAGCCTTCAGACAAATAAGGTCTGCCGCCTCACCACCATCCCCAGACTCATACAGGCTCTTCACCACTTCTTGCCCTGAACCTAGGGGAAAGAGGATCTAGGTAGCAAAGTTTCTCAACTTCACTAAGTGGACACTAGACCAGCTGCCCAGTCTTCAATACTTGGCCCTCCCCACTCCCTGCTGCAACCCTCTCAGGATCTTCTCTCTGCCAGCGTCCACTCTGTTTGAAGGCCACTTCCTCCGGTGGCCACCCTGGACCTCGCTAGGAAGTATGTTCATCCTACAGCAGTGTGCAAGCACCCATCTATCCCCACTCGTGGGCTCAGGGGAGAGCTGCTTGTCGATGTCCCACCCCTAAATCCATGGTGCCCAATGGCGCCACAAACCCTCACTGAGGGAGACAATGGTGAGAGTCGATGACCGTCCCCTTACAGACAGGGACAGTGAGGAAGCAGAGGGGGCGTGTGTCCACTATAGCCCCCACGCTGATGCTGCTGCACTTGAAGAACCGTATGACCCAGCGTGGCTCAGAGCTCAACGAAGCCACAGAACCCTTCATAGGGCTACGGGCTTCCAGGACTGGGTGGCATCCTGGGAGACTTTCTCGGGTGGGGGGCACTCTTCCTCCCACCCCAGCCCCATGCGCACTAGCCCCCATACCCACGAGGGCTCCGAGGAGGTAGAGGACAGCCCTGCCTCTCTCGGGTGACAGGCTACCACAGGGATCCAGGAGGGTGCTCAGGACAGGACCGGAGTCCCCCAGCTGTACCAACTGCCCAGAACACAGGGCCTGCTCCAGCTGTGGGAGAGGGTGGAATGAGCAGAAGGGACAGCAGTGGGGCCCCCACCCACCCTTCCATTCCTCCATTGCCCACCACCCAGCCCCTGCTTCCAGCTCAGCTCAGGGGGTGGTGTAGGGCCTCGGTGAGTTTGAGGTGTGGCATGGGGGTCTGTCCTACCACCTGGGGCTGTGTGCTCTAAGGCTGGGACCTGTCTCTCCTCCACTCCCTATCCCCGGTCTGGCCTGTGTGCCTCTCACCGTGTCCTCCAGCCCCTGCAGTGCTCCAGGGATCCTGAGCAGCTCTCGGAGGGAGTCCAGTAGAGAGTGACGCAGCTCAGGAGTCAGCGTGGCCAGGTCCTGCAGCTGGGCACCCACCTGCCTCTGCAGTCCCAGGAAGTTGGGCTCCTCGCCCAGGGCCCCACCTGTACAGAGGGATCGAGCTCAGGCCACAGTGCCTTCAGCCTGACACAGAGTCTTGGTACCACAGAGCTGACCTCAGGAAGGCCCATCTTCTGAAGGGCATCCCATTTTACACAGTCATCTCACTTGTTGGACATTTTTTGGGTACCTTCCACAGGCTTTCCCTGGTCCTCCACCTCTCATTCTCCTTGCTTTCTGCACCCCCCAAATCATCACCCCATCATTCCTGTTTCAGCCAGAAGGATACAAGCCCACGGTTACTTTCTCCCTCCCATTCACCTGGCAGTCCTGCCTGAGTTTATGAGGTAAATACTGGGCACTGGGGAGTGGCAGACTGGCCAGGAACATGTGAGTGAGCTCTTAAAGTGCAGTGGGTCCCACGGAGTGTCCACACATCCCCTGCCTCCCTTCCTGCCTGGCCTGCCAAAGCTGCCTGGTGAGAACCTTCCATGTCCAGACTGTCCCTGATTGCCACAGCCCAGTGTGTGGCCAGGAGATGCACACCTCTTCCTCCCCTGTCACCTGCTCTCATTAGTCTAAGGAGTCTCCACTGCATTAGGGAAGCCAGAACAGTCCCACCCGTAGCCATGGCAGAGAGGACTCCATCTAAGGGTGGAGGATGACCATGGTGCTGTGGGGGGGATTTCTGGCAGTCCACTCACCTCCAATGGCGTCTCTACAGAGATTCCTGTCCGGGAGGTAACGAATGGCTGTGGGGACCAAGGAGGGAAACGAGAAATACCCTGAGAGGAAGACGGGAAGTCAGCCAGCCTTGAGTTCCAAGGTGTGGCAGCTCGTCCCACCGGGGATAACCTTACACAGATGAGGAAAGTGAGACTCGGGGATCATGTTGATGACCTGGACGAGGCCACAGAGACGGCTAACAGCCATGACTCTGACGTCAGTGCGCTGCTCTATCTACTAGGGCAAGGCAGCTGCTTGACTCTCCGACCTCCTGCTGCTCCTCAGGATGCCAGCAGCTGGGGGCACTGATGGGGAGCAGAACCACCGCCTCCCACCCCTGGGCCTTAGGTGCACAGGGTCACCCTGGGTCCACACCATTCTCTGTGCCACCAGAAGATGGCAGGCTGTAATAGTTACGGTTTTGTGTCAACTTGACTGGGCCAGGATTCTCAGTGGTGTGGCAGTTGAGATGGACCCATCCCTCAAGATGAGATCTAATAGGATGTTGTCAGCTATGCGTAGCCAATCAACTGAAAGGATGTTTCCTTGGGGGGCATGGCAAAGCTTGTTTGTTTCCTCCTGGTGTGGATTTTGCATCTGACTCGTCCTCTGACCTCTGGTTGTTTGGGCATGAGCCAGTGACCAGCTCTGCTGCCTGCCTGTGGTCTGACCTGCCAATCTTGGTTCATCTGACCCAGACTTGGGACTCTCCCACCTCTACAACTCTGTGAAACATTTCCTTGATATAAATTCTTCCTTATGTACACATATACACTTCAATGGTTTTGTTTCTCTAGAGAACCCAACCTAAGACAGGGTCCTTCCTTGAGTTGAATGCTGCCCCCACCAGGGCTGGCCTGTAAGCACTCCCTAGAGGACTCCTCAGCACCCTCAGCCCCAGTCAGGCCATCTAGGTGCTGCTGTAATGAGTGTCCGGCTTACTGCTCCAGCCAACAAGGAAACAGATGTTCTTTTCCTGCCTGCTCTTCCCGTAGGCCCTGGCCTTCTCTCTTCCTTTTTCCAGAGCACAGGCCAAGGACAGGGGGAGCCGAGGAGGGTGGGGAATCTGGCCTCTCCTTACCCCAGTGCTCTGCCTCCATCACCAGCTGCAGCACCCTGTAGGCCAGGACACTGCCCTTCGGGACGGTCACCATCTTTTCTTTAGCCAGGTGGCTCTGGCATTGACCCTATGAGGGTGGCAGAGAGCAGGAAGTCACATGACCCAGGATTCTAGGAAGGGAGACAGGAGGGGCGGGCGGAATGCCTTGGGAGGGGAAGGAGGGCATCAAGAAGAGATCGGTTGTTCAGGGTGGGGACCACTGAGGACGGAAGGGAGAGGCAGATTCAAAGGCTTGGGGTGCCCCCAGATATAGCAAGAAGGGTGTTTTGCAAAATAGGCCATACATGAGATGTTCCCAGCAAAAACACAAAAGGTATCTGGAGTCATAAAGATTTGGAAAGGACTGCCCACTTCCTCCTGTGGAGATGGGTGTGGTCAAGTCCTGCAAACAGGCTTCATTTTGCTGAAATAAAACCCAAACTCCAGAGTTTGGTGGAGTATCCACTTTGGAAATATGGAACTGGAGTCATGATGCAGTTGGAGAAGCCTCCATGATGCTGAAGCCCACCTCTCCCAGTTGACAGGTGGAAACCAAGGTGCAAAGAGGGGAAGTGGTGGGAGGGCGTACTTACTGAAGCTAAGATCCCTGATATGGGGGCTGTGATATTACTATTCTCATCCTACTCCAATAGGGAAAGCGCTATTAAAACAGTGACAATAACGGAACTTTTCCACTTGGCTTGGCACGTGGGTATCTTGAGTAAAAAGTGTGCCTTTCAGCTTCTTTGCAACAGAAGTGGTATGTGAAAGTTCTGGGCGGGGTCCTTCCCTTTCCCCCTCCTGCTGCCTGGGATGTGGTGTTGCTAGCTGGAGCTACTGCAGCTATTTGGAGCCTTGAGGGGGAAGCCATAAACCAAGAGTGACAGAGTAACAAAACCAAAGGAGGCTAGATTTCTGATAGCCCACAATCCAGTGCTGTAGGCTTGGAAGGCCTGTCCCTGTCTGGACTTCTGTGGAAGACAAAAATGCTATTCTTGCTTTAAGCCACCCAGAGACTCTTGTTTTAGGCTACTTTTTTTCAATTTTGTTTGTAGACACCAAAGTTTATTAGTGGATACCAGGAGTGGGTGGTGGTGGTTGTGTGCCATCCAGTTAGTTCCAACTCATAGCAACGTAGGGTTTCCGAGGCTGTATAGCTAGAGGAGCAACTGGTCCATTCGAACCGTTGACCTTGTGGTAAGCAGTAAATGGCCATGCAAGGAACAACAATTGGTGTGTACTCACTTGGAGCAGAGGAAGTGAGTACAGACCAGTGGGAGGATGTGGACTCTATGGCTACTGCCCACCATGCACAACTGGACGATGCCCGGCTACCATTACTAAACATCTTCATCAAAAGCTCCAGGGAAACATCCTAATCAAAAGGGGGGAAATGCAGAATAAAGTTTCACATTTTCATGGACTCCAGGTTTCTTGAACCATCACGTTGGAGGAACCCTTGCAACTATTGTCCCGAGATCGTTTTTAAGCTTTAAATTAAAAATATCCCCTTAAGTCTTCTTAAAGCTGGACAATCAGTTTAGTTTAGTAAAAAAAAAAGGGTCTGCCTGCAGAACGATGCTCTTTTATTTTTATTTTTTCATTAAGCCACTGTTATTTGCAGTTTTTCACTCATCACTTGGTTGACTAAGCATCCTGGTTTGTCTAGAACTCTCCAGGCTTCAGCACTGAAAGTTCTGTGTCCTGGACTGCCCTCGGTCTTGGGTAAGCTGGGAAGGCTGATCACCCTAAACTGAGCTTCAGTTCATGACACACTCTGGATTGTCTACTTATTATCAATGGTACATGCTTAATACACAGTTTCCCTCCTCTTAATCGGCTCTAAGCCCTGCCCTTATGTATTTCTCGGCCTCTTTCCTACAAGTAGCAAGCTGGAGAGAGCTTACATGTTTTAACATGTGCTGAAATAACACACAGTTGAAGGTCAATCCCCTGCTGCCTTCACAGACCATGATTCCATTTCATCAACTTGGTTCAACACATGGGCTTTGATTTCGGCTCCACAGTTTACTAGCTGAATGCTCTTGAGCAAGTTACTTAATCTCTTGGAACCTCAGTTTTCTCACCTGAAAAACAGGCATAACCATGGCTACCTCCCAGAATCATCTGCTCCCTATAGAGAACGTTGAGCAGGATGCCTGACTCCCAGGAAGTGCTCCATAATGGTAGACCCCTCTTACACTCATCTTCCTTCATGTGGGGGTGTGTGAAGGAAATGCTGAGATGGGCACTCACTTTGGGGGGGATAAACAAGTCCAGAGTCCTAGAATGTGGGGTCTCACTTGCCTGCACTTGAAGTGAGAGACTAAGGCTCATGGAGCCTCCCTGACCTGTCCATGAACACAGCTGGAGCCTGAAAGGCGGGCTGAAGGGAATTTGAGAAATGTGTGTCTGTCACTTTTTATATGTGGTTGCCCAAAGTCATGGATGAGAGAAGTCAGCTCAGAGGGTTAAGTACCTTGCTAAGGCCACACAGCTAGTGACGGACAGAGCAGGATTCAGGCATGGCTGGGACCCCTTCCACCGAGGGCGACCAACTCTAGCAATATGAAGCCTCACAGGTATGGGCCTGGTCCAGGCAGTGACAACATATTTTGGGACTGTCATAGGTAGTGCACAAAAAGTTCAAGACGCTCCAGAGATGCCTCAAAGGGAAGGTCTGGTGGCCAAAACCAAGCCCTGAATGCCCCATGGAGCACGGTTCTACTCTGACACATATACCAAAGTTTGGTTTTGTTGTTTGGTTTTGGCTACGGGTGTTTGGACACGGGTGTTAGACACATAGACACACAAAACCCAACCACTTCGGGTGATTCTGATGCACAATCCAAGTTGAGAATCATGACACAAAATACCATATCCTGTCTGGATATGGTAATTTTCAGAGTAGGGCAGCTACGAGGGGGCTTCAAAAAGCTTGTGGGAAAATTTTATTATCTATTAGTTTCATGAACTATGTGAAGCCTCCTCATATTTGGTGTGAATTAAGCCAAGGGACAGGCTCTTTGGGGGCCCCATACCCATATTGGATTCCTGGTGTAGTGTTTGTAGGATCAGCACTGAACTTGAACCACAAGGTAGCAGTTCAAACCCACCAACTGCTCCTTAGAAACCCTATACAGGGTCGCTATGAGTCGGAACCAACTTGATAGCACTTAACAACATACCCATATTGACACCTCAGAGCACATTCTGCACCTTGCAATGGCCCAGATGGAGGAAGGACAGCTGCCCTGCCCCCTCTGCACATCTCAGGCTCTGCAGCGTGGCATCCTGGGAGGTCTCCAGAACTTCTGTCACCACGTACAGGCTCTCCCTCTCCTTCCGGCTTTCTAGTTCCCTGAGGAACAAGGGCCTTGGTGTCCTCAGTTTCCTGGGGACGGGGGTTGGGGTGGAAGAGAGACAACACTGGGGAGGAGCCTCTGCAGGTCTCCCCTGGTCCAAAGCCCTTCCAGGCCTTGTCAGAATGTGGGCAGCAGAAATTGTGTGCCAGTCTAGGACATCGAGATATAGCACGTGGATGGCTTGTGGTTTAGGGACAGCTTGTTAAAGGTCAGCTGGGGATAGTTCAAAGAGGGGAGAAAGTGGTGGAAGTCTGAGGCATCCCACATTCTACGAGGTTTAAAATGCTCTGACCAGAAGCTAAAACTGATTTTCTTCAAGCTGGATTGGGCCAGTGGCATAATGGCAAATGTACTTGGCTGGCCCATATGGTATTTAAAACTGTTAAGATAATGTTAAACATTGATAAGTTTTACTTAGAAATCCCAATGGCTAGCTTCTTTTGAAAAAAGGAAATTTTGGCACCAATGAACCCCAAGCCCTGGCAAAACCGAGCGGCAGCTACTCTGCCACAGTCTCCACCACTCCGTATTGTCCCACATCCAGCCACCGCTCACATCCTGTCTGGCCCAGAATGCATCTGGGTTGAAAACTCTGACCTAACACAGCTCCTTCTCACTGTCCACTCTCTCTTTCCTGGGTTTCTGGGCTCACTGCTAATAGTGGACTCACCCATTCCACCACAAACTGGCAAGAGCCTGGGGATTTTCCCATCTGCCCATGCTCCCCACTGCCACCTGGGGGACCCATGGCTACTGACTGGTAGAGCTTGTCTGGAGCACCTTCAGCATGTCTCTTCTGTGACTCACCTCTTCTCCACCAGAGTCTCCCAGGTGTGAGGGGAAACCGTGAGGGTGTGCAGGGCCAGGGCAGAGCTGTGGGTCACCATGCTGCTCCCCGTCACCTTCCCCAGCAGCCCAGCATTCACCCTGTCACCGTTCCTGTCACTGTCTCCTGGAGGTGGATGGGTTCACCTCTGCTGACCTCTGTGAAGAGAGAAGTCAGGCTGGGAGCATTGTGGGTCAGGGCATGAGCTTGCACTCCAGCTTTCACTTCCAATTTGGGTTCTACCACCTACTAGCTAAGGAACTCTGGTAGTGTAGTGGTTACGAATCGGGCTGCGAACCTCAGGGTCACCAGTTCGAAATTACCAGCTGTTCCATGGGAGAAAGATGAGGCTTTCTGCTCCCGTAAAGATTTACAGCCTCGGAAACCCTGTACAGGGTCGCTATGAAATCGGAACCAACTCCACGGCACATAACAACAACAACCTACTAGCTGGGTGCGACCCTGGCAAATTCATGTAACCTCTTGGAGCCTCCATTTATAAAAGGAGAAGAATGGGGACCTTCCTCCAAGGGTGGTTGTGAGAATTAAATGAGGAATGGCCTACCTGGTCCCTGTCACAAAGTAAGCATCTAATGGCTGTTAACCATTACTGTCATTTAAAATGATGGTGATTATTTATGGCACATTTAGAGATGGGGAGAAGAAGAAATCTGTTCATGCTTTCTCCACATAGAAGACCCTTTCACCCTGTGACCAGGCCAACCTCAGGGGTCTGTGTGTGTCTGGGTGGACGGTGTCAGCTTGTCTGTCTTTGTCAGTTTCCTTGCAGCTCTCTGCATGCTGGTGCCCACCAGTCCCACAGAAGGTACCTGGGACCGGGCAGCCAGGCTCCAGCATGTCCAGGAGGGAGAAGTCGGTTGGAATGAAGGGGGTGTCCCAAGGCCATGGGTGGCGTTTGTGCTTCTTCCTCAGCAGACAGAAGGGGCGGAGGCGTGGGGAGTTGGTGAGGCTGTCTGCGGGCAGCAGCTCGCCCTTCCTGCCTAGCTCCCTGACCAGGCTCTTTGTGCTCTGAGAGAACAGGGAGGACATGTTCCCTGTGGGGTGAAATGGAAGGTGTCATCCAGGGCTGTCGAGGGGTGGAGTTTCTAAGCTGAGTGGGGTGCAGGAGGGTGAAGAGTTGGGCGTTCTGGGCAGATTTCTGTGGAGGTGAGGAGGGAATAGGACCGATTTCACAGTGGGCGCAGGGCTTATGGTCCCCAAGACTTTCAGGGCCCATGAAAATTAAGAAGGAAGTAACTTTTAGCTGGAAAAGTGTGCCTAGATGTGCCGTTGCTGAGGGCCATCCACCGGATTAGGACTCATAGTGACCCCACCTCACAGGGGAGAACCGCCTCATGGGGTTTCCCTGGCTGCCATCTTTAGGGGAGCGGATGGGCAGGCCTTTTCCGTAAAGCCATTTGAATCCCCTTCAGTTAGCAGCGTTTACCCAGGGCGCCGAGCCAGTATTGATCGAGGTGCCTCGGTGCCAACACAGTCCAAGGGGTGTTTATGGAGGAAGGGGCCCACGCACGACGGTCCGGCGTGGCCTGGACACAGGAGAGGCACAGTGTTAGCGCTTCAGAGACCATGGGGGTGTGGGACGTGCTGTGTGACAGGAGCTGGGGGGTGCTGGTGGGCGACGGGGTCCACACAGAGACCACGGGGGTTATGGGACGTGCTGAGAGACATAAGAATGGGGGACCCTCGTGGGAAACGGGATCCACACAAACTCAGTGGCTGCAGGGCCGAGCTGTGGGCTGGCCCTCGTCACCCTGGGAACCCTGCGCAGGGGCCGCTGGGAGACGCCCTTCCCAGGGCCGCGGAGAGACAGCGCTGCCGACCGTCAGGACGGAGGGTACCTGAGGCCTGGGCCGGATGTGGGGTGACTGTGTCCGCCCAGACTGCGTCCCAAACACAGACTCTCTGCCCAGACGTAGGATTTCCGGGTCATAACCTCAGAAAGGGTCACGACCCCAGGAGAGGCGTTCCTGTGAGCCCCTCAGCTTTCCACAATACCCAAGGTACGCGACATTTTATGTGCTATTTTTCTTTCCTCACGCAAGTATCCACCCAAACCCAACTCAACCTAGTGCCAGGAGTCCACTTGGACTCCCAGCGACCCTAACGGGGTTGGGAATGGTTCCAGGAGCTGCTAGTGGGTTTGAACTGCCCACCTTGAGGTCAGCAGCCCAGTGCCTGACCCACAGCGCCACCAGGTCTCCTTAGTTCTACTCCCACGGAGTTTAAAGCGTCAGAATGTTCTAGAAAACGTATCGGGTCGGCAGACGCCCTCCAGCCGTTCTTCTCTGAGAGCCGGGCTGGGTGTCTGCTTTGGGGCCTGAGGGGCTTAGGGTGACCCTGTGTCACAGAGCAGAGCCGAGCCTCCACGGCTGTCTGCTCAGAAGCCACTCAGAGGGGTGCGTTGATGTTTCTAGAACAGGAGCTCCAATGGTGCACTTTAAAAAAACAACCATTTACAAAATGTGTGTTTTAGGTAAAAATGCACAGACAAATTCGTTTCCATTTGGTAGTCTGCCTCTGAAGCGCTCGCCTTCTCCAGCAGGTGGCGCCACCCCGCTTCCCGCTGTGGGTAGGGTCCCGTCTCCTTGCTCTAAATTATCTACCCAGTCCTGCCTTCTTATCTCTCTTTTTGGGTAAATGTCCTTTTGACCTCGCATACTTGATTGTTCAAAGGAATGCAGTCCTGTTGGGTGTGATCGTTTATTTTATGGGTCAGCGTCCATGTACTCACGCATGGTAACTGTAGTGAGGTTGGCCGAGGACCCAGCAGTGTTTCGTTCTGCTATGCATCAGGTCGCTATGAGTCGGTACCACCTCGATGGCACCTAACAACAACAACAACGTTTGACTCAAAGGTGATCTCCAGAAATACCTTCACTTCCAGGTCCAAAGCGGGTCTGAAGGCCCCCTAGTCTTGGGACTTCTTGCAGTCTCTCTCAGACCACGAAGTCTGCTCTTTTATTTCTGGTTCTCCATTTTCCTTCTATTCTGTCCAGACCCTGTGTTGTGATCCCAGACCAAGCGGCTACCGGGGTGGTGGTAGCTGGGCATTGCCCAGCTCTTCTGCTCCCTGGGTTGTGCCATGGGCTGTGCTCCATGTACTCCCATAGGCCTTCGCTCCGGATGGGAAGAGACCAATAGCTATATCTTACCTGGCTACGCATAAGCTTTAGAGACACTGGAGGCAACTCACCACCGTAGGCTGTTTTTATGAACTATGCTGGGCTACTTACCATAGTTGTCCCCGGAGTCTATGGTTCACTTTCAAGCCCAGGAATTATGTTCTGTGAGGTGTTTGGTTATGTCTAAGGAGTGTCCACGACTGTATCCTTTGTATGCTCTCTTGTCTGTCTTTAGGAGCCCTGGGAGGATTGTGGGACTGCTGACCACAAGGTTGTCAGTTTAAACACACCCGCTGCTCTGCAGGAGAAAGATGAAGCCGTAAGCTCCTGTAGGTATTTACAGTCTTAGAAACCTTGCGGCGGTGGTGGTGGTGATGTGCCGTGGAGTCAGGTCGACTCATGGCGACCCTGTACAGGGTTTCTGAGGCTGTAAATCCTCATCTTTCTTCCACGGTAGTTTCAAACTAGCTGAGCTTGAGGTTAGCAGCCCGACTGGTAACCACTCTGCTACCAAAGCTCCTTAGAAACCTTATACATGTTCACAATTAGTCATAATCACCTCGATGGGTGTGGTTTTTAAAAGATTGTCTATATTAATGTATGGAGTCCTCATGTAGCACTGTAGGATAAGCAATATAGACTGCTAGCCACAAAGTTGGTGGTTCAAACCCCTATGAGTTGGAATTGACTCAATGGCATATAACAACATATAATATGCATTCAGCACCTAAAAGTATGTACAGACACATCCACAATCAAGCCTGTATTTGTAGGTGGTTGTGCGCCACTACACTCTCCCAGACCTCCTTAGTATACCTGTCGTCTTGTTTCCAGTCATAAGTTCTTTGTTTGTACTGCTATTGCAGGTTTGCCTATGTCATAGTAATTGCCATTATTGTTGTGTGCCTTTGAGTCAGTTCTGACTCCTACCGACCATGTATAGGGTTCCTAAGAGCAGCTGGTGGATTTGAACTGCCTACCTTGCGATTACCAGTCTAGTGCTTATCCTCCACCATCACACCAGGGTTCTGTAATATCATGATAAGTGAGAAAAGATGAAGTTGTCAGACTTCACTTTGCTTGGATCAACAGTGAATACTCATGGAAGCAGCAGTCTAGAAATCAAATGACATCTTGTGTTAGGCAAATCTGCTGCAAAAGATTCCTTTAACGTGTTTAAGACCAACTTCAGTTTGAGTACTAAAGGTGCTCCTGCTCCAAGTCATGGTATTTTGAATCCCCTTATATGTGTGTAAAGGTTGGACAATGAATAAGAAGACTGTAGGAGAATTGATGAATTTAAATTATGGTGTTGGAGAGGAATATTGAAAGTACCACGTACTGCCAGAGAACAAACAAATCTGTCTTAGAGGAAGTGCAACCAGAATGCTTCTTAGAAGCCAGGAAGGCCAGATGTTGTCTTTCTAATATGGAAATGTTATCAGGAGTGACCAATCCCTGGAGAAGGATATCATGATTGGTAAAATGGAGGCTCACCGATGAAGAGGAAGACCTCCAATGAGATGGAGCGGCACAGTGGCAGCAGCAGTGGGCTCAAATGTAACAACTGTGGAGATGTCATTGTTTCATTCTGGTGTGCATATGTGTTGGAACCAACTCGATGGTAATTAGCAAAGAAAACACGCCCTATATTTACTGATTTACCCTCCTACCCCGGTGGAGTATAGAACCCTTATACACTGCTTGTGAGAAGATAAAATGGTACAACCACTGTGGAAAACATGGTGCATCCTTAAAAATGAAAAGTAGAAATATCATATGATCCTTCGTATATTCCCTAAAGAAATGGAAGCCATGACACCATGACACAAATAGATGTATGCACACCCATAATCATTGCAGCTTTATTCACAGTTGCAAAAAGATGGAAACAGTTTAAGTGCCCATCAGTGAATGAATGGATAAACTGGTCCATACATTCAGAGAACACCAGGTAATCATAAAGAAGAGTGGTGAATCCGTTACAATTCTCACAACATGGATAAATTTAGAGGTACATTATGCGGAGTCAACTAAATCAATCACGAAAGGACAAGTACTTTATGAGACCACTGTTATTAAATTTAAAAAAGTTAAAAACAAGAAAATGTTTATGCACAGGAAAAACACACTTTGATGGTTACCTGGGATGGATGTAAAAGAAGGGAAATTTACTAACTAGATAGAAGACAAGTTAATAATGGTGAAGGGAAAAGCAATACAGTGTGGGTGAAGTCAACACAACATGACCAAAATAAAGGAAAACATGGAAAAGAATGCAAGAATAAAGGGCAAGTAAGGAACGTTTTTGTGGTGCTGTAGGTGAGTGCAGGTCGGTTTGAACCCTGAGGTCAGCGATTCAAATTTACCAGCCATTCCTCAGAAACCCTGTATGGGGGACACTATGAGAGGAGTGCTGGGGTGGCACTCTGGGCTAATGAGTCAGACTGCAAAGTCATTTTAACGGCAAGGTTGGTGGTTCCAGCTCACCAGCTGCTCCTTGGAAACCCTATACAAGGTCACTATGGGTCGGAACCATTCGCAGCACTTAACAACATGTGTCGGAACCAACTCCACATCATCATTCATATGCATGCAGTCTTCTGTGGTGTTCTTTGTCATTGTCCTCATTGTCCAGCTTTCACATGTATATGAGGCAATTGAAAATACCATGATTTGCATCAAGTGTACCTTAGTCCTCAAAGTGACATTTTCATTCTTGAATACTTTAAAGAAATTTTTTTTTTTTTCTGCAGCAGATTTGCCTAATGCAATACATCACTTGATTTCTTGACTGCTGCTTCCATAAATATTGATTGTGAATCCAAGTAAAATAAAATCTTTTGACAACATCAATCTTTTATCCATTATCATTATATTATTTATTAGTCCAGTTGTGAGAATTTTTGTTTTCTTTACATTGAGGTCCAGTCCATACTGGAAGCTGTGTTCTTTGATCTTCATCAGTAATTACTTAAAGTCCTCTTTGCTTCCAGCAAACAAGATTGTTAATGGGTCTTCCTCCAATCCTGATGCAATGTTCTTCTTCATATAATTCAGCTTCTCAGATTGTTTGTTCAGCATACAAATTGGATAAGCATTGTGAAAGGATACAACCTTGGAATACATTTTTTCTGATTTTGTGCCATTCAGTATTTCCTTGTTCAGTTTGAACAACTGCCTCTTGGTCTATGGACAGGTTCATTATGTGTACAATGAAGTATTCTAGAATACCCATTCTTCTCTATGTTATCCATAATTTGTTATTATCCACACAATTGAATGCCTTTGTATAGTCAGTAAAGGAAAGTAAACGTCTTTCTGGTATTCTATACTTTCAGCCAAGATCCATCTGAAGCCAGCAATGATATTCCTCTTTCCACATCCTCTTCTTAACCCAGCTTGAATTTCTGGCAGTTTCCTGTTGATGTACTGCTGTATACATTTTAAAACTATCTTCTGCAAAATTTTACTTGCATATAATAGTAATGATATTGTTCAGTGATTCCCACATTCCACTGAGTCACCACTCTTTGGAATAGGTACACATATGGATCTCTTCCAATCTGTTGGCCAGGTAGTTGTCTTTCAGATTTCTTGGCATAGATGAGTGAGTGCCTCCAGTACCGCATCTGTTTGTTGAAACATTTCAATTTGCATTTCATCAATTCCTAGAGCCTTGCTTTTTGCCAGTGCCTTCAGTGTACCTTGGACTTCTTCCTTTAGTATTGGTTCTTGATCGTAGGGTACCTCTTGAAATACTTGAACACTGACCAGTTCTTTA